ACATGCTCTCCAAAATAACATTGTAGAAGTAAACAGAAACAGGCAGGGAATTATGCTTAATGAGAATTGGACATGTGGCTTAGCCCTCTGAGGTCTGAAACAAGTAAACACTTCCCGAATTGTCAGTCCATACCTCCCTCTCTCAAAGCAGAGCTCTTAGAACTGTCTCCCTCTCCTGTTTACGAAGCTTACTTGGTCTTTGGAACAATTGTACATGTAATTTTAAAGGAACTCTACAGGAGATGGATTTTGAGTACTTCAAAAATTGCTATAGTTTGTATCAATCAGATATGGGGGACAGTTTTGCAAAATACTGTTTGTGTAAAGAGACAGGAAGAGCATGTGCTCTGTTCTAACCAATCAACAAAGTGTGAAAACACGATTTAGAGAGAAGTACACAACCATCCTATCAGTTCTACCCAAATATCACATCAGACCATCTCTTCCCTGATAACAGTTTTGTTAGCCTAAGGACACATTAGCTCAGTTAGATCTGGGCTCTCACAGAGCTTTCTGCTGGCTGCTCTGCTTACTGGTAAGTAAGCAACGCAATTTTGCCTAGCAACCCCACCGTGGAAACACTGCTCCATTCTGTAAGTGGCAGGGGATGTGGCAGGGAGGCAGGGAGAGTGAGGTTTGTGCCTCTCAGAATCCCTGTGCAGCTGGTTCCCGACTTCCTAAACATTATCTGCAATTCTTGGCAGCTTCTGAAGAATGATGAAAAACGGGTTGGGGAGGTGGCTGAGCCTGGGGTTTGGGGAGTAGGGTGGAATTAATTGTAAGCCAAATAAAAAAGCTTCCAAGATTACGCGTTGAGACTGTCTGAGAGCTCAATCGAGAGTTGGCATAGAGGAACCAAAGGAGAATGAGAAAATTTTTTGTCATTGATGATGAGGTATGCAACATATGTAGGAAGGGACAACCAGCAGTGACCTCCTGAAGCTAAACAAAGATTATCTTAAGCCATATATGAGGGAACATTGCTCAATGGCAAAGAGAAGCATTAAATCTGGGACTGTCTATGTCTAAGGAGAAACTGAGCTTTTACATTAAAATTGCCTGTTAACAATCACTGAATATTAACCAGGCACTATGCTAAGCTTTTACACACTGTTTAATCTTCCAAACAATCCAGTAAGGTGGGGTTTCTTATCTTCATCTTACAGAGGAAAAAACGAATGCACAGAGAGGTTGAGAAACATGCCTAAGGTCACTCAAGTATTTAGCCGTGGGAATGGGATGTGTCTCAGGCAGTCTTTCCCTAGACTCCGTGTTTTTTTTTTTTCTTTTTTTGAGCTGGAGTCTTGCTTTGTCACCCAGGCTAGAGTGCAGTGGTATGATCTCGGCTCACTGAAACCTTCGCCTCCTGGATTTAAGCGATTCTCCTGCCTCAGCCTCCTGAGTAGCTTGGATTACAGGTGCCTGCCACCACACCAGGCTAATTTTTGTATTTTTAGTAGAGAAGGGATTTCACCATATTGACCAGGCCGGTCTTGAACTCCTGACCTCAAGTGATGCACCTGCCTTGGCCTCCCAAAGTGCTGGGATTATAGGCATGAGCTACCACACCCGGCCAACTCCATGTTCTTAAACACTACTCGGTTTTCTAGCGGTAGTGAAGAGGGCTAATGGGGACAAGAAAACTGAAGATCACCATACGGCACATGAGATGGTTTGTGATTCCGTTGTGAAAGCCACAGTTTAAAATGTTCAAATAAGGCAACTTTTTTTTTTTTTTTAATATCTAGAGGGCAGTACAAACATGGGTATCCAGAATAACAGATATTGCTAAAACCTTACACCCACAGCACTTCTTTTTATAGCAAAGTATGGGTATACACATATTTTCATACACCTACACACACATACACATGCAAGACGTGTATTTCTTAAGTCCCTAAAATACCCTGATAATTAAATGCTCCAAACATTCTCTAAGCATCACCCTTGGATGTCTGGGAGAAGCAGACCCGGAACACACTTGTTGGCCTGGGCAATGAGTAGTGGTGAAATGTTTACCTTGCTGATAAACTCTCCAGTAGAGGATGCAATTAAGATGCCACAAGCTAGCGTTTGTTATACATCTCCTTGTCTGCCATCAAACAAATCCACCCCTGCCCTTCCCCATCTTCCCTTCTGCCCATCTCCTGAAGTCCAGGAATGTCTCCAGCTTCCTACGTACTTACAGTCCTCTTTTGCCAACCTCAGCCTCATTCAATTACATTCACATCTCAATTTATGACTTAACAAGCATCTCACAAACATTTAATTCACTTTAATTTCATTATGCGTTTGAGGAGGAAGATTTGTAGAGGGGGGAATGATGCTTCCGTTGCCAGCAGCAATTAGATAGATCTATGGTGTGAAATCTCCTTTTGGGCTTTGAACTTTTCATACATCTCTGCAGAAAAAAATCTAGGCTAATTAAGTTCCTGGATTCTCAGAGGGGCTCACCTGCCTTTACAAAATCGTCCTATAATAGCCAACACGAAAATTTATGAAATGGACAAAACATTCCCTGCAGTTCTCAGGTAATTTATCTTGTTATGACACTTTCATGTGTGAAAAAGTCATTATTTTCACATAGTTTCAACAGTATCAGTAAATTATAATTTTTTTTTTCAAATGGTTTCTCTGAGGAGATTAGCAGGGTTTCTATATCAGAGTATAGATGAAATAATTTTTCCCTCTTCCCATTTTATATACTAGATACCCTCTCGGGAGTTAGAAAAGTACCTCCTTTTTATAAGGAAAGATGGCATTTCTTTAACTTTTCCTGGACAGATCACCAAGGGACCATTTTTTTATTCTTAGTCTTCCTTCACAGAAGGGACAGAGGACTGCCCATTTTCAGCAGGAGTTAGTCTGATTTCTTTTGTTGGGTGCAGACGACTTTGTTTGGCAACTTTCTATGGGCTGGTGAATTGCCAAATTACTTGAAAAGCTGTTTCCATTGTTAAGCACTGGACTGAGAATTAATTACATCAGAATTCTAATCTGGCTCTGCCCCTAATTAGTAGCATCATTTTATGCAAGACCCTTATCCCCTCTTGGCTTCTGCTTTGCATGCGTAAAATGAAGTATATAATGCAAAGCTCTCTCTGTGCTTGGTGCAATGAAGAGGATGCAGTCTCTTGGTATGGGTTTCCTATATTGATGGCCCGAAATGTGGTGTACCTTTGCAGAAAATGGATCTAGGCAATGTAGAAAGGCCATGCATTCCGGTGTTAAACACAGTGTTCATATGTGTATTCTGGTATATGATACCAAGGCCCCCGACGACAGTCTCCAGCACCAATTCTGAGAGTTTTGAGGATTTTTCAGCTTAGAGTCAATTCCAGTGTTGCCTTTAGCACACCCAAAGAAAATACAACCAATGCTACCAGCCCCACTCCTGGGCTCCATTGGCATTCCTTTGCCCCAGTATCAGTCTAATTCCCATTCCAGATGCTTTTTTGTTAAGTGACCCAATGACTGACTCCTTCAGAAGCTGACATGAGATGAGGTTTGCAGAGATGGATAAAAATTCAAAGCCCAAAAGGAGATTTCACCACAGATCATTAAGTCAATCTAATTGTTGTCCTACTATCCGTTTAGACAGGGATCCTGTAATGCTAACTCCTGTCCTGTCTCTTGTGAGTGATACAGTCAACACACATGATGACCACAGCACCAGCTCAAACAGGTGTGCTTTAAACCAAAGGTGTGTTATAAATGTACAGCCTCAGCAGGGACAAGGGAGGGGGGTGAAGAAACACACATATACTTGGCTAGAGTCGGTCATGATGAAGATGCGGGTGGCTGTGTTTTCCTTTTCATCCAAACATTTTGGCCCGACTCAGATAATTTTTTTCTAGCATACTCTCTTTGATGGAAGGGAAATGGTGCAAATCCATCACCACCATTGTGGAAAGAGCTCCAAATTCATTCTCACAAATGGAGGATCAGTAATACTACATGACAAATAGCAGCAAGCCTTTCTGGGAAATCATTACATTTGCACCAGTGAGGAAGTTAGAATCAGTATTTGGGCTGCAGTCATGGAACCATTCAAGAAACATTCAAAGAATCGGCTAAGCAGGCTTTTTGTTTGTTTGTTTGACCTGGTGTTCACAAACAGGCTTCAAGGAGCCTGAGAACCCCCTAGACCACTTGAAAACTTCTGTATGTCATTTTTTAATTGGAAAGCGTTAATAACGTTCATCAAATTTCCTCCAAGCAGCCAATGACCAGAAAAAGGTTAGAAGTTACTGACTTCAACCATTGTGGAAGACAGTGTGGCGATTCCTCAAGGACCTAGAAATAGAATTCCATTTGACCCAGCAATCCCATTAGTGGGTATATAGCCAAAGGAATATAAATTGTTCTATTATAAGGACACATGCACATGAATGTTCATTGCAACAGTGTTTACAATAGCCAAGACTTGGAACCAACCCAAATGCTCATCGATGATAGACTGGACAGGGAAAATGTGGCACATATACACCATAGAATACTATGCAGCCATAAAAAATGATGAGTTTGTGTCCTTTGTAGGGACATGGATGAACCTGGAAACCATCATTCTCAGCAAACTGACAGAAGAACAGAAAATCAAACACCGCGTGTTCTCACTCATAGGCGGGTATTAAACAATGAGAACACATGGACACAGGGAGGGGAGCATCACACACTGGGGTCTGTGGGGAGAACTAGGGAAGGGACAGCGGGGGGTGGGGAGTTGGGAGGGATAACATGAGGAGAAATGCCAGATATAGGTGATGAGAAGGAAGGCAGCAAACCACACTGCCATGTGTGTACCTATACAACAATCTTGCATGATCTTAAAATGTACCCCAAAGCCTAAAATGTAATAAAATATATATTACAAAAAAAAAGAAGGCACTAAATCAACTTTCAAAAAAAATCACTGACACAGTACCTTTTTCTGCACATCTGTATCCTGAATCCAGGATGATGCCCCTGACTTGCCTATCTTTCTGTTTGGCTCTTCCTAGAAAAAGCAAGTGAGTCAGACCAAGATCCGGGTCATCTCAACCATCCTGTTCATCTTGGCCGGCTGCATTGTGTTTGTGACGATTCCTGCTGTCATCTTCAAGTACATTGAGGGCTGGACCGCCTTGGAGTCCATTTACTTTGTGGTGGTCACTCTGACCACGGTGGGCTTTGGTGATTTTGTGGCAGGTAAGCACCCTGGGCATCCCAGGCACTGGGGCTCTGGTGGGGAAAATAATCTGTTGGCTGCGCTTTTCACAGTCAATAAAAGATGTTGCAGGAGAAGCAAATGAAGATGACTCAGTGTCGATATGGCTGTGACGAGGCTCGTTTCAAATCCCTAGTCCTATGTGATATAAACACCATAGGATTCTTCTGCCATGAAAGAAAGCCAACCCTTTCCTTCTCCGAATGCCTATTTCCCTTATTACATGAATTATGCAAGACTAAAGTGGATTTCTCATTGAATCTTGGACTTCTGAATTGTATTAAACCTCATGAATCAAATAATAAAGGCTGTGCTAGGAGGTGGCACATAGGAAACCCGGAGGAGGTTAGCATAAAATTTGGTCTGTAGTCACCTGCAGGTTCAGCTTCCTGACTCCCAGGTGAGAGCCACTGTCTCTGCAAAAGTTGGGCTGGGCATGCCTAGATACAAGACTAAGGACTTTGGTGACTACGGGGAGCTGAGAACTGCCCAGAGGGAATGTAAGCTCATGGATTCTGCAGGAGCATATACACAAGCAGTAGCCTTCCTTATAGAAATAAATGTGGATGAGCTATGTTTAAGGAAATAAAAAAAGTCACCATCAATTCCATCTAGGGCCAGGGAACTTGCAAATGAGATTTCGTTTTATGTGTGCGCCAGTTTCCCAACATGCAGTAGAAAGGTACGGATAGAAAGAAGAGGCCATCCTTCTCTTTTCCTAATGGGATGGTTCTAGGTGTTCAGAAGTGATCAATTTCTACTACAAGAAGTGAACACTTTGATCAACAACTCTATCATCCATCACAAGTTTGAAATGTCTGGGTGGAAAGAGAGAGAGAGAGAGAGAGAGAGAGAGAGAGTGTGTGTGTGCGTGTGTGTGTGTGTGTATCAGTTCCTGGTTAAGCGGCAGCCTGAGCTGAGCCCTAAGCAGACTGTTTTTGTTTTTGTTTTTTGAGACAGGGTCTCATTCTGTTGCTGAGGTTGGAGTGCAGTGGTGTGATCATGGCTCTCCGCAGCCTCGACCTCAGGCTCAAGCAATCCTCCCACCTCAGCCTCCTGAGTAACTGGAACTACAGGCATATGCCACCACACCTGGCTATTTTTTATTTTTATTTTTGTATTTTTCACAGAGATGGGATTTAGCCATGTGGCCCAGGCTGGTCTCGATCTCTTGGGCTGAAGTGATCGGCCTGCCAAAGTTCTGGGATTACAGGTGTGAGCCACTGCACCTGGCCAGACTGTTCTTGTTTGGAATGTGATCCCCGCAGTCTTGCTTTCTCCATGGAGTCCTGTGCACATCAGGCGGAGTGGGCTCTGGTCTCTGGGAGTCTGATAAACAGGAAATTCTGGAAGAGACGCCGAAGGTTCATCAATAGGGGAGCGGGTGCCTCCCTGTTAATTTTATAATACAAATAACTGGCAGAGTGGTTTTGTAGCTCTTCCAATTGGGCAGACAAAGACTGAAGTCCACTTTGTAGAAATAGTAGGGCTTTTCTTTCCTTCCTTTTTATGGCTAAGGACTAAGAATTGCAAAGTGACTAAAATTTAGGTTTTTTTGACTTTTGACTAAAAATCGATTTTTAGTCAATGTGACTACAAATCATTTGCAGAAAGCCTGGTGGCTGGGACTCTACCAATTTTTCCTTACTCACAGTGCTCAGCCATGGATGTCTGGTTAGTAGCCTCAAGCTCCAAAGAGATACTACACAGAGAAGCTGAGAAGTGAGAGGAGCAGTTAGACATGTATTCCAGTTAATTCCTTAGCATTATCCGTAGCGGATCTATGGGAAAACTCAGTGGTGGTTCCAATCTAAGATAAACACATGTAGTGGCAGCTGGAGTTTTGAACTATTTCCCAAACGTCCTTAAGTACCCAAAGCATAATCTGCAGCAGGTAGTGCTTTAGAGCTCTCTGGAGTAGCACTGGGCTGTCCCGAGGACTACCTTTAATAAGATACTTGTGACAGACACAGATCTTTAACCAATGGCTTGGTTCAATCTGTTAATCTGAGGCACAAACAGCAGAGCCCTGGGAGTGAGATTTTTTAAAAAAATTATGCTCTTATTATTATGATTATTTTTGAGGCAGAGTCTCACTCTATCACCAGGCTGGAGTACAGTGGCGTGATCTTGGCTCACTGCAACCTCCACCTCCCGGGTTCAAGTGATTCTCCTGCCTCAGCCTCTCTGAGTAGCTGGGATTACAAGGCACCCGCCACCATGCCTGGCCATTTTTGTATTTTAGTAGGGACAGGGTTTTACCATGTTGGCCAGTATGGTCTCAATCTCTTGACCTCATGATCCACCCACCTCGGCCTCCCGAAGTGCTGGGATTACAAGCTGAGCCACCGTGCCCAGCCTGCTCTTGTCATTTATTATTATTATCTACATGGACTGAGCACTTAGTACAAACTAGCACTTTACCTTATCTTTACTTACCTAGTAAGGGCACAACCTACGTAGTCCCAGGTATCCTGAGTTTTACTGCTCTTGTCAGTGATTCAGAGCCATATTGCCTTTGTCCTGAGGTTTCTACAGACCATGGTCTCTTAGAAGTCACAGTGCTGGCCAGCCACAGTGGCTCATGCCTGTAATCCCAGCACTTTGGGAGGCCGAGGTGGGTGGATCATGAGGTCAACAAATCGAGACCATCCTGGCCAACATGGTGAAACCCCGTCTCCACTGAAAATATAAAAATTGGCTGGGTGTGGTGGTGCTCGCCTGTAGTCTCAACTACTCAGGAGGCCGAGGCAGGAGAATGGCTTGAACCCAGGAGGTGGAGGTCGCAGTGAGCCAAGATTGTGCCACTGCACTTCAGCCTGGCGACGGAGCAAGACTCCATCTTAAAAAAAAATGAGTCACAGTGCCGACTGCAATTAGGCCAGGTCCCTTCTAAGCTCCAGTTTTCAGAGCTTACACAGACTGAACTTGAGAACCCGTGCCTTAAAAGACTGGAAGTTGTTACTATCTTTTGGTCTGTGTGTACTCCCAGACGGAGTTGTGAAATACTGCAAGAGTCTAAGAGTGATAGGGAAGGTTGCCCAATCACTGAAAAAAGATACGTTAACAAGAGTCGACGGTTGCTCTGATTTGACATAGTACCAAACTCTACTAGAAATGGAATCAGAACATTGATCCTGCAGGATTGATTGCTGATTATTCTGTAGCTGACTCTTTTTAGGACAGCCTTATTACAGTATTTTGCAACTGTCTGGGAGCACACACAGAACTCCGAATCCAGACCAGCCACTCATAAAGGGATACTTAGAAGGGTGTTGACTGCCTGGTTCATTGTTCCTTGTTCACTAGCGCACCCTAGTGACCATCTTTGTTGGATGTTAGTGACTCACAAAGGTAAATACTTCTAGATAGCCCACAGGAGAAAGCTACAGATTTCTCTGGCATAGCACAGAAACCACAGAAATGAAATGAACCTCAAAAACCACTTACTGGTGCAGGAACTTAAATAGTATCCTAGAGCTCTAAAGATGCAGGAGAGAGTTGCCTGAAGGAAGAAACCAAAGGCAGCTGGATGGACCAAACTGAAGGGGCTTGGCACAGAGAAGTTGGAATTCTAACATTAAGAAGTGGCGGTAGCTGTCAAGGCCTCGTTGGTGTGCTGCGCTCTGTCGTAGATTGCGTTTGGGCGTGTCGAGAGGAGCCACAGGCCACACTTCCTGCCCAGCTGCCTTTGCTGTAAGACTCAGTGGTGCTAGGTGTGAATACAGCTCTGGCCCAGTGGGGAAAGTCTCTAATCACTCATCACGCAATGCCATAGTTACTGTCCATTGTTAATATCTGTTGTCTTAGAAATGGTCACTGCCTCCTTCGTTAGGCAACAGCGTTCCCAGGGAGAGATTGAGGCTGAAGTCCTTTATTTCCAGGAGCTTCGGCACTTCTTCTTTAGGAGGGTGGGTTGTCCTTGAACCTGTTTGCATGGCCACCTCCTGCATCGCCTGTGGGAAGGTTAGAATAAATAGGCTAATTATTCAGAATAAATGACTGGTCCTTTCAGGACAGCCAATCAATGCAATCAGGCCAAGTGGCCAATTTGGTTTGATGGATTTTTACTGTAATCCTTATTTATAAAATAAAGGGATTGGCCTCAAAGGTCCCTTTTAGTTCTAGCTTATGGTGACTCTAATTACTCAGCCTAATTGACCCTTCTGAGTAGCACTATGCAAACACCATTCCTCAGTTAGCATTAAGTCACTATTGCCTGCATCAAAGTCCCAGTAATGCCATTTTATCTAATCTTACCTTCACACATCCATTTGTGTCCTGGTAAATGGATGAGTGCTTAAGATGGAAAGGGTTCCAAGAATTCCAAACCATAGCTGGTGATATAATGATATTTGATTGTTATTAAAATAAATTTAGTGAAGTTTAAGAAAAAACAATGACAGCCAGGTTCTGTTGTCCTGTAGTGCAGAGTCATTTTTCCTCCATGCTCAGGTTGAGCATAAATAGGTCAAGTTGGCCTATTTCTGGTATTGAGTTTAGTGGTCAAGAATCAAAAGAAGTAAAACTTCAAGTTAGGCTACTTTGGGAAAGGGAGGTGTATCCTCCTTGCCCTCTAACCCCGATCCACCTTGTACATAGCAAGCCTGACAGCCGCGTGTTAGATGATGATGGATGAAGTCTTCGCTTCATGGACTGGAATGTGTGTTCTCTGCAAAGACCATGCGCTAGATCACGGTTAAAGTAACATTTGGTTGTTTTCAGGGGGAAACGCTGGCATCAATTATCGGGAGTGGTATAAGCCCCTGGTGTGGTTTTGGATCCTTGTTGGCCTTGCCTACTTTGCAGCTGTCCTCAGTATGATCGGAGATTGGCTACGGGTTCTGTCCAAAAAGACAAAAGAAGAGGTAGGACCCCTTCCTAACTCTATAAATGTTCCCTGAGAACAGATGAGCTTGTGTCCAGAATTGCCTGTGTCTGTCCTGTGGGCTGGAGTGTTTCTGGCTCAGCTGGGGAGGGCTCCTAAACTTCCTCATGTTGAATTATTCCCTCAAAGCCAAAGAGAATGGAATAGCAGTTATTTCTGGATTCTTTTTTTAAATTTGTTTGTTTGGTAGGTGAGAAAATATGGTGATTCGTTTACCTTCCCATAAGTCCTGGAAAAACCAGTAAACAACAGCTGATTTTTTTAAAAACGAAAATGAAAATAGTCAGCAGAGGGAGACACTGGCTGGGGGCGTGGGGGTGGGCAGCCTGTCCTTCCAGTCTCAGGATCTTTGCAGAAATGCAGCTGAACGCCAAGAATCTTTCCTGATTCAGTAAGAAACTGAAATCATCGAATAGTGGCCCGCCACAGGGCAGTGAGCCCAAGGGGTCTTTTTCACTTATGTTCCCTCTTGGTTGTTGCATCCATAGAGACAAATACAACCCTGTGGACAGAGCCATGCATGTAACTTTACATGAAGGGAAGTAGAGGAAGACATAGAAGGAAAGCTAGATTTTGTGATTAAAAAATAAATATTTATGTAGCTCTCTTAGGAAGAGAGGAAAATAAAGAAGGAAGGCGAAGGAAGGAGGGGAAAAAAGAGCTAAAGAAAGGCAGGGAGATAAGAAAAAACAAAGAAATCAAGAGAGGGCCAGCCTCTGTTTGCTTCATTCTGTATAAAAGGCCCCAGGAGAAAGTTGCTGAATGGAGAGATTTCCCGTATCATTTTCCTGGGCCCACATGCTAATTTTCTTGGCTTACATAAGTACTCCCAATGCAATTTCCAGACTGATTGTCCAGTCAGCTAACTGACCTGCCGAAAATCATCTATAACAAAAGAGAAGGGAACAACATGAATATTGACTTTCCTGAATGCACAAATTTGAGTTCCTCATTGGCAGAGGGAAGCATGGGACTTGTACTGTCAGCCTTGTTGATTAAAAGCCAAGAAATTTGGTGCTGCTCCTCAGGCAGAGTTCCACTTTAAGGAAGCCTGTTCTGTGGGCTTTGGCAGAACAGGCCCTCTTCCTGCACCCTCACCTGGGAAGTGGGTTATCAGGTGCCCTGGAGCATCTTCTTAAACCAGGGAAAGCCCCACAGCATGAGGCCATAGTGTGGCCTGGATAATTTGGCCAACCATCCCAGTTTCCTCAGGACTGAGGGAGTTCCTAGGACACAGGACTTTATTTTAAAACTGGGACAGTCCCAGGCAAACTGGGAGAGGCTGGTCACCCTGCCCAGAAAGAATACCAGAAAGTCAGGGAGGGCAGAAGGCCTGCTGAACATCTGTTGTGCCCGGGAGTGAGTGAGGGGCATTTCCTCATCTCAGGTGAGCTAGATGTGGTCACTCAAGTTTATGTCTGGGGAATGAGACCATGCAACTGACAAGACAGAACCGGAAGCCAGGCCTGCCCAACTCCACATTTTAACTTCTCCTGGAGAACGCCGTCCCCCTCTAAGTCACCATCTGCAAACCTCAGGCTTCTTGGGGTTCCCCACCACATGTGCCTCCCTGAGCCACATTAGTCACTAGCCAGTTTGGGATGGGTGTCTGGGTGGCAGAAGTACTAGGGCAGAAGATAGCATTTGCCTCTCTCCCTGGGGACGTGCTCCGCCACCTCCTGGCCTCCCTGTGGGAACACCCAAGGGCTGTGGGTGCTGGGAGGCCCGAGGCAGGGAGGCATTTGTCAGTGTATTGTTGCTCTTATGTCTCTTGGCCAGGTGGGTGAAATCAAGGCCCATGCGGCGGAGTGGAAGGCCAACGTCACGGCCGAGTTCCGGGAGACAAGGCGAAGGCTCAGTGTGGAGATCCACGATAAGCTGCAGCGGGCGGCCACCATCCGCAGTATGGAGCGCCGGCGGCTGGGCCTGGACCAGCGGGCTCACTCGCTGGACATGCTGTCCCCAGAGAAGCGCTCTGTCTTCGCCGCCCTGGACACGGGCCGCTTCAAGGCCTCATCCCAGGAAAGCATCAACAACCGGCCTAACAACCTACGCCTGAAGGGGCCCGGAGCAGCTGAACAGCACGGGCAGGGCGCGTCCGAGGACAACATCATCAACAAGTTCGGGTCCACCTCCAGACTCACCAAGAGGAAAAACAAGGACCTCAAAAAGACCTTGCCCGAGGACGTTCAGAAAATCTACAAGACCTTCCGGAATTACTCCCTGGATGAGGAGAAGAAGGAGGAGGAGACGGAAAAGATGTGTAACTCGGACAACTCCAGCACAGCCATGCTGACGGACTGCATCCAGCAACATGCTGAGATGGAGAATGGGATGATACCCACGGACACCAAAGACCAGGAGCTGGAGAACAACTCATTACTTGAAGACAGAAACTAAATGTGAAGGACATTGGTCTTGGACTGAGCGTCGTGTGTGTGTGTGTGTGTGTGTATGTGTGTGTGTTTTTAATATTCACACTGAGACATGTGCCTTAAACAGACTTATTAGTCCAAAATTACATAGCATTGAAGAATATATTTCACTGTGCCATAAACAACTGAAAACTTGCTCTGCCAAAAGGAATCAAAGAACAAGAACATTTCAGATAGCAACCATGGGACGCACCGAGAGTGTCTGTGCATGAAGCCGGTTCTGGCTGTACATGTTAAGGGCGTTTCAGTGGTAGTGCCGTATCCCTGGGCAGTGCCACCTGGGCACACACATAGACAAGGGCAGCTACTCCTCAGACAAGCCTCCTGAAAGAAACAGTTGTGTCTTTGGTGGAGTCGTTAGTGATATGTGCACACGCAGAAGGGGACCTGGTTGGGGGTAAACTGGTTGTAGGTAACCAGGGTTGGGGTTGACATTTTGTTATGTTCTCTGAGCTGGAATTTTGATACACACCATTCACTGAATGGTGCATAATACCTAGTCTTTCTATGCTCCCAATAATGTCTGTGGGACCTGAGAGCGCCTGGAATTTGTTGGAAGCAGATCAGAGCACATGTATTAAAAGGTGCAATTGCTTTTCTCATGACAAAGGAAAAAAAATAATCACAAACACATCACACTGTGGATATCACCTTCACCAATGGCAGAAGCCTGCTGAGTTTGGTCTTTCTCATGGGGGTAGGTAGACCACATGAACTGGCGAGCATTGGTGAAAACGTGACATGAGCCGCTGCGTGGTTAAAGGCCAGTCGTGCATTTTCCTCAGTAGGTGCAATGGTGACAATAAACGGATTTGGAAATGTCCATGTTCACTTTGCTAGTGGAACTTTGGCTATAACTTATTTTGATAAGAGTGGAAGAAATACCAAAACAATTGCCTTGCATGATGCCAGTGGCTTGCTGTTCTGTCTAGCTGATCCTACATTTTTATAAAAATAGACATCCCGCATTTCTGAGACGTACCGAGGAGGACCGTGGCATCTTTTCATCTCAGGGCTTTTTGTCCCTTGGGTATCTTAGGGTAGACGTAGTTAAAAGATCCAATCTCGCTATCTCCAAACAAAAAGAAAATGTACCCCTTGTAAGTAAGCTTGAAATGTTTTGATTGCTTGCAGCATAAGTGCCATTAATTCCGTTTAACAATGATACTTAGAAATACTTAAACGATTCCATTTTACTTTTATGTTTGGGCAATCCTTTATTCTGAAAACGCCACTTCTTCTCCTTGCCTGTTTCTTTGTCTCACGTCAGTTATTCACTAAAACTGGAACACCCCTAGACTGATTGTTCCCAGGCAAACGATAAGCTAACCCATCACAATTGTGATTGGTCTGTGAGGCTAGAACATCCCGTAGAGGAAAGTCGGGGAATGGCTAGTCATAGGTTTTGAGATGATGATCTTCAATGGGTTTTTATCAGAAAGGGGAAAATACATACTCCTGTGTATGCCTCAGTCTTCATCATAATTGGCTGGTTCACAGCTAGCTCTTTGGGCCACACACGAAAGCGTCTGGACCTGGCAACACCAGGTAGTTGCTAGTTATGGGTGTTCTAGGCTCGCTGCCACCTTTTAGAGAGTTCGTAGGATTTTACATAACTAAGCTGCAGTGTGGATTCACCAACAGTTCGGCACTAGCGGAGACTTCCAGAAACTGTCTAATGCTGTCTGACCTCCAGAGAAAGTTGTAACCATGATATCCTTGACCTGGTACCGTGGAAGACCTGTCCCTGCCCATTTCTCAAAAATGCCCAGCTCTCCCCTGCCTGGAGCACATGCAATCCCCTCTCCTGGCCCCCAGACCTTCAGGCTCTGTTGAAGTTCTGGCATTGCCTTTGAGAAGGAGCCAGATAAGAATCAACTTGGATGAGGCCCTTCCTGTCCAAGGAGGGTCTAAGTCAACTCCTCCGTTGGACTGGAGATGGGGCTCAGGGGTGACATCCTGTGTTGACACAGTAATAAATAGTCACTTGGGAGGCAACGTTTATGCAGGTATGGATGTGGAGTTTTGCTATGGAAATCATTCCAGCCTGACAATGTGTTTTAAGGAATAGGTAGATAACTGGGACATCCTCTGTATTCTAGCAAGTCAAAGTTTCCTAATTAAACTGTCCATAGATCCCACTTATTTGGGTTTCCACTGTGTTACCTGGTACCTTCTTTGTAGTAATGTGTTAAAATTCCAGGCCCTACAACCAAATTTGGCAGAGGCTTCCCTCTCGTTTGTGCAGTGCCTCTGTGGGCCAGACACAGGATTAGGCACTTAATGAACGTCAGCTCAATAAAACCTCACGACACTCTGTGGGAAGTATTTGCAAACTCATTATATACACAAGGACACAGAGGCTCAGGGAAGCTATGTAAGGTACCTGGTGGCACACAGCAAGAAAGTGGTAGAGCTGGTATTCAAAGTCCAACCAAAGTCTGCTTTCAACTTCGCTATATAGTGTCTGTGTCATACACTCTTGTGAATGTGTTTGTGTGTATGTGTGTCTTCGTAGCTTCATGGACACAGCTTACAGATGTGGGGAGCAGATACAGAGGAATCTTCACCACCAAGGGGGAACAAGGTCTTTGTGTAAACATGGCTCGGAGGGTTGCCCCTGCAGACACCTACTGTACATTTATTTGGTTTTGGTTTTGGAAATTCTGTGTGTGGCGCCCTTTCCCTATTGTTAAAATGCCCTTTGAAAGCACTCTTTTGCACTTTACTTGCTGACTTTGTAGGAACTCTGCATACAGCAGGAATAAAATAGTTCAAAGCACTAAGCTGCATACCTTACCAAATGGAACAGGTGCATGTGTTGGTGTGTGCATAGATCTTCCCCAGTGAGTCAAGTCAGTCATATAGAGGGATCAAATGTAGCCTTGGGCTGGGAGTGGGGAAATTTTCTACACAACTCATTCCCTGAGTACATTTGGTCAAGGACCTGATGAACAAAATCAAAGAAGATCCTCTAAGGAGATTGATCCATTAAATATTTGTGCAAAGTGTTTAGAAACCTACAAAATAATCTCGCCAAGAAGCTGAGAGAGAATAAGAAATGGGATTCCTCTTCACATAAACTAAGATTTTGGGGGAGGCCATTTGTTTTGAAGTTACTTAAATGCTACCTTTTTTAGATGGGGCCAAATGGCACGTAAAGTACGCGTGAGAAGGCAACGCTGCTGCAGTCTATACACACATCAGCACAGCCCTCCCTTTCCAGTTTGCACTCCCGCTGCACCACAAATCTAGGAGAAGTGTTTTCATTTCGCACATGGAAAGAGCACACGTCCACCATCTTCAGTGGGTGGTGTTTTTTGCTTCACTGGCAACTGGGCACTGAATTTTTCATGCATGACAGATCTGGAGGTTTACTGGTGAGAGAGCCAATGGGAAATTTGGAAAGAGTACAGCTCCATACCCAGTCCTAACCCGATAGTGTATACTTTGTGTGTGTGTGTGTGTGTGTGTGCATGCTTGTGTGTGTATGTGGGGGTTGGGGTGGTGTTGGGCCATCTCCGTCCCGTTACTAAGGTAACTGGGACTATTTGTGCTTCACCAGTCATATCCTGTGATTGTGGGCACATCAGTTCCCTGCCTAGATCTTTGTTACTTTGTCTGCACATCAAGGGAGTTGAGCACACATACTTGTCAAGGGCCATTGGAGTTGTGCAGTTCTCTAACGAAACACTCCCTAGTCCATGAGTTCATTAAATTTGTTAAGAAAGTTATAAGTTGGATTTGTGAATACTGACTAATTGTCTTGCCCATTTTAGGTTAAAGTAAGAGCTTAGTCTCCTGCCCTTTGGGATTATGTTTTTTTGGGGATTGATGGAGACCAGATGTACTTGGGAGACTGGTGTCCAAATTCGGATCATGCCCTGTGTAGGCTCTCTCTATCCTCCCTTATAGCTCTTTAGTGTACTGTCAGCGGGAGGGATCATACTGTGAGGGCATTTTTTGCATGGTGTTGAGACTAGTTACAGAATTTTAAGCTGTTGCTATTTGCAGTCAATTGTAGTACTTTACATATCTTGAATTCAAGTACTATGATCAGATAGACCTCACACACACACACACACACACATACACACACATGCACGCACAAACACACACATACACAGCCCAGAGGAAATGGCTGCTTTGGGTTCTATAAGGACCATTCCATGTTTGAAGACCTAGTTGAGCTAAATACTAAGAAACCGCCCCCTTGCCTCCCTCTGAGAAGATACCATTTCCTGGCTTTGTCAATGCTGCCTGTCTATTTGCATGCTGGGTTTTGAGGACTAGTGAGAAAGTGGCCAGAGTTTGGGTGGGGCTGGTTTTTACCCGCTGGATTTGTGAGAATGTGAAGCATCCAGTGTGTACCAGGGTTTCTGAACCATGGAAAAGGCATAGGAAAACAAACATTCAGAGCCCTGTAAAACGAGAAAGCAAAAACCAGCCAGTGTTACATTCCATATCTCTGCTTGTTGCATTTTGCTAATATGGGGTTATTCTTTCTCAGTGTTTTGATGCAATTGTGTGCAAAGACAGTGGCTGAGTGAGCAGTAACAGCCGGCTAGTAATGGCCTTATAAAGAAAAAGGGTAACTCTGAAACAAAAATCAGTTTAATGTGGTATTGTGGATGCTGTTTATTCCGCATATGGAAGCTTTGGAACAGCATGCTAATTACATGGCTGGAACCAAAACCCTGCCCTCTGCCCCTGCACCTTCACTGGACTTCACCAACCCACCCATACTCCATGTAAACCTCAGTTCTCCCATGGCTGTTGGAAGTCGCATGACATCAGTGCCGTGGCATTGAGAAAAGGAGAGGTGTCTCTGATTTTACTGAAAGTGATTATCATTTTCACAGGTGCCTGAGATTTGGTATCTACTTTGTGTTCTTGACTGTTAAGTGAAAAATCTCAAATAGTTCCCTGTGCATTAAAAAAAAGAAATTATTTTGAGAGGACTCCTGCTCCATCAATTCAGCAGATCTGCGCTGCAGAAGGTAACTGCGGACCCTATCCTTTGCTGTCAGGGCTCTGAGCTTGAAGGGAGAAGGTGCAGCAGTACCTAGAAGCGATATGCAAATCACCTCACATGCCAGCCTCTGGCCTCTCTCCCATCCCAGAATCACAGGCAGGGGACCCAGTGACAAAGATGATAAGTCCATGTGTGGAGGTGTTTTACTTATTTTTCTCTCTGTAGGATTTCATGGTGCTTTAAAAAAAAAAAAAAGGCATTTTACAGAAAATAATGTGGGGGGAGGGGGATTTCATAATGTTCTTAGGGAAAGTACAAAACAAATTTGCTTGTAACATTTCAATAAGCTGTGCTGCTATTGTCTTTATTTGATGATGTAATTTTTTTTTCAATGACGAAGAAAATTGCAACAAAGACCTTCTGGAAGATCCAGCCAATGTCTCTCCTGTTTTCCTTTCTTTTGTGGGGCTGAGCGTGGTTCCTAATAGAGCATGGGATGGGAGCTCTGCTCTGGACCACTGATACTTTGTCCTGATGGCAGGATAAGTGCTTCCCCAAGCTTACACTTATTTCTGACATTCATGGGCCTGTGGAAACCCACTCTGTCTTGCAGGAGGAGGAGCGCAAAGCAATCCATGAAGAGAAACCTTAAAAAACCCAGGATGGGCCGGGCGCGGTGACTCACCCCTATAATCCCAGCACTTTGGGAGGCCGAGGCAGGTGGATCATGAGGTCAAGAGATTGAGACCATTTTGGTCAACATTGTGAAACCAGGTCTCTACTAAACATACAAAAAAAATTAGCCGAGCATGGTGGCGTGCACCTGTAGTCCCAGCTACTCGGGAGGCTGAGGCAGGAGAATTGCTTGCACCCAGGAGGTGGAGGTTGCGGTGAGCTGAGATCACGCCATTGCACTCCAGCCTGGGTAACAAGAGCAAAACTCCTTCTCAAAACAAAACAAAACAAAACAAAACAAAACATACCCAGGATGGTTGCTGCACATTGAATTTCATTTCTCTATTTTAACCTGATCTTGATTGCACATTGCTGGGACTACACCAGCATGATAAATCACATTTTCTTGGTGAAAGACTAAGTTTCAACATCGTGACAGGTCTTCCAGTATAAAATGAACAACCCCTTGGATGCCGACATTTCATGCGGTGTTTGGTTTTGCCCTTGCTATGTGTCTACCAGCCATGAGCTTATTAATATTGACTAGAGATAAAATTATGAGCATTTCTGAGCAATGTTATTTACCAGGTACTCTCTTGGACAGTTTATAAACGTCCCATTTACCTTCACAAATGCAACTGTAAGTTGAGTGTCTTCATTTTACAAATGAAAACGTCGAGGCTCAGAGAGAAGACAACCTCCAACCCGAGTTAATCAGCTCCAAACTTGAGTCTCTCACTTGACCATGTAGCTGCAAGGGACATATGCTTTAATGACTTTTCCAATGAATGTGATGTGATTCTTTCTGACTTGTCTTCACTATCTCTCCTTTTTTTTTTTTGAGATGGCGTCTCGCTCTGCCACCCAGGCTGGAGTGCAGTGGCACAATCTTGGCTCACTGCAATCTCCACCTCCCAGGTTCAAGTGATTCTCCTGCCTCAGCCTCCTGAGTAGCTGGGACTACAAGTGTATGCCACCACACCGAGCTAATTTTTGTATTTTTAGTAGAGATGGGGCTTCACCATGTTGGTCAGGCTGGTCTCAAACTCCTGATCTCATGATCCACCCTTCTAGACCTCCCAAAGGGCTGGGATTACAGGTGTGAATCATCGTGCCCAGTCCTCTCCTCTTCTTTTTGTGAGGGAGACATGTCATTGTTGAAAAACGTGAGCATTGAATGAAGAGACCTTCCAAACAGGCTTTGTGTGAGCAACATGGCTGTTTATTCACCTGGGTGCAGGTGGGCTAAGGCCGAAAAGGGCATTAGCAAAGGGCAGTGGGATAGGAATTGGTTTTATAGGTTTGGGTAGTTTTTTGGGGGGATGAGGGTGTTGCACAGTAAGTTCAGTTACAGTGGTGGGGGGTAGGGGCAAGGGAATATACATGACCACAAGTTCAGTTACAATGGCAGGCTTGGGTGAGAGGTATTTACATTATCATAAGAACAGTAAAGATGGCAGGGTTGGGCGAAGGGCTTGTCTGGGGAATCCTTGCCACCGGGCAATTAAGGACAATGGGAAAGGCAGGCGGCAGGTGGGGGATATCAGCCGAGGCAAGCAGGACTTCAGACTTTCAGGCTCCAGGCTTGCACATGGAGACCTGACATATGTGTCTTTTTATATATATAGAGAGAAAGAATTAGAGAAGAGAGGGTGATAACAGGTTTTAGGGGTTGGGGTGAAGTTTCTTAAGGCTTTTTCAAGCGGGATTGGGGGTGGGGTCAAAACCTAAAAATGGGGAAGAATTTAGGTTGTTAGAAGGAGCATTTGTCATATTGACTGGTTGTTGCTTGTATATGATTTTGTAGGAACTGAGAGATTAATTGGAAAAACACAGGGTTTAAATAAGAGAAGGAGGAAGATAGTATTAGAGGACTAAGGATTGGAAGAAGCCATGACTTCCAGTTAGAGAGTGTCCAGCCAGTTCAGCGAGGTCCAGAATAACCATTTGCCTGATTAGTGAGCTTTTGGGCTCTGTCTCTTAATTTATTGATGGCTTCATCTATGAAGCCAGGCTGGTTTACATAAAACAACATTTTTCTGGAGCTTTGGACCTGAATGCCAAGGGAACCAGCAAGGGCTGCAGCCGCTAAGGGTTGTAGCCGGGCTTGGTGGGGTAACTGTGGAGGGAGAGCTTTTGTTTTCATGGTGCATGAGGAAGCTTGTGGTATCTATAAGCAACCACTCACTTTTATTAACAAAACTGGGTTTGAGCAGAGAATGGGAGCCAGATTAAGAGTGAAATATTAGCTGCAATTGCCTGGAGGCAAAGTGTAAACCCGCAACTTAAACAAAAGCAGGGCGTGTGAAAGTAAATGAGTGCAGGGAATGTGAGCACAGTTAGAAAATAACAGGAACAGACTTTTTGAGGTGTGGTTTAAGTAGTAGGGGCGACTGCATAAAAGTGGAGAAGGCGAGGGGCTCAAAGTGTGTGAGGTGTAAAGAGAAAACTTTGGAGGCTGGGAGAGCTAGAGGGTAAATGGGATGTAGCCTGTGATTTTGAGGGATTTTAAGAGTATTAGGGTGGCAGCTGCTGCTGCATATTGTCATGAGGGCCAGCCCAGGACTGTTAGGCTAAGTTGTTTGAATAAAAAGACTATAGGCCATGGGCATGGCTCCTATGTGAGAATTCCAATCACACAGCCCTGGATTTTAGCAGTATATAATGAAAAAGTGTTGAGACAGGTTGGGGAGGGCTTGTGAGGGAGCAGTTTGTAGAGCTGTTTTTTAAGCAGTGAAAGGAGGAGTGAGGAAAGGATTTAGGATTAATAGGGTTGGATAAGCTTTCTTTAGTGAGTTTAGACAATGGCTTAGTTAGAATAGCAAAACCTGGTATCCACAGGTGAAAGTAGCAACCACGCCCAGGAAGGAGAGAAGCTGTTGTTTGGTGGGTGGGGTTGGGGTTTGGGAAATTAACTGGATACAGTTGGCAGGGAAGGCACATGTATGCTGGTGAAAGATTATAACATATGGGGAAGAAATTTGGGCTTTGGAAGGGGATACATGATACCCCTTTGAGTATAGATGCTGAAGAAGCAGAGGGTGAATTGAAAGGCCATATTGCAATAAAGGGTGATAACAGGCTTTACTTTAAAGCCTGTGTGGGATGGGGTACTGGGGCTGGGCAGGGTAAGGGTGGTAAGGTTTTAAGGGGATGATGAGGGGTGAGTGACTTGTAGCAGTGGATGGGAGGGTGGTGTTTTATACCCTAGGGTTAAGGTAGGGGGACGAAAGGGGCGCTATTGAGGGAGGTACGGGTTTGGGGTGTGGCTGTAGCCCAGGAATAGTCAAGGAGGCAGACAATTTTGCTAGGACATTTTGGCCTAACAAGGGAACTGGACAAGTGGGGATGATTAGGAAAGAACGTGGAAAGGAGTGCTGGCCTAATTGACACCAGACTTGGGGAGTTTTGAGAGGCCTGGAGGTCTTGTTGTCAATTTCCACAACAGTATGGAGGCCAAGGAGACAGGTCCCTGAAAAGAAGGCAGCATGAAGTGGGTGGCCTCCATGTTGATTAAGAAGGCGATGGACACCATTTACCGTAAGAGTTACCCAAAGTTTGGTGTCCGTGATGGTCCAGGGGGCTTCCGAGATGCTTGGGCAGCGTTAGTCTCCAGCCGCCAAGCAGAAGATTGGAGATTTAGGAGTTGGACAGTTGACTTTCTGTGGGGGCCCCACACAGACGCGGCAGGGTTTAGGAGAAATCCTGGGCTGTGGACATTCCTTGGCCCATGGGCCAGGTTCCCGACACTTGAAGCAAGGTCCAGGAGGGGCGGCTGGACGCTGCAGTCTGGGTGCTCCGAAGTCTCTGGGAGCCGGTGGTGTGGCTGGGGTTTGTCTTATGGAAGAGGCAGCATCTGTAGTTCTGAGCTGTGCCGCTGCTGGGCAGATTTTTCCCTATTATTGAACACCTTGAAGGTGAGGTTTCTTAATTCCTGTTGTGGGGTTTGAGGGCCAGATTTTAATTTTTATACCTTTTTGTAACGTTGGGGTTGATTGGGTAATAAAATGCGTATTAAGCGTTTTTCAGGGGTGAGAGTAGAAGGATAACATTTAAATGACTGCAGGTGAGATTACAGGACTGGGTTAAGTATTGCAGGATATGATGAAAAGGAGCCTAACCTGTGGCCAATTTGGAAAGGCTGGATAAAGGAAAAGGAATGTGCGTGCTGACTATGCCTTTGGCTCCAGCCACCTCTGGAAGAGGGGATTGTTGGGGAGGGCAGAGGAGGTAGCCGCGGGACTAAACTGTAAGCTGGGAGTAGAGACTAGGGAGGGATTGGTGTGTAAAAAATGCCCGGGCATAGGGAATTTCAGACCAGTTGCCCTTGTTGCGACAAAAATTGTCTAAATTTTGTAAAACAGGGAGGTTGAAGATGCCATTTTTTGGCCAGTTGGAGCCGTTGTTTAACTTGGATTGAGGCCATGCAGCGTTACAGAAGAAGATGAGACGTTTGGATTTTAGGTTAGGAGACAGTTGAAGAGGATTGAGGTGTTTTAGAACACAGACCAGCGTAGAGGAGGGAGGGATAGAGGACGGACGACTGCCCATCGTTCTGGAAAGGCAGCAGAGATAAGGAAGATGGGCATGCAACCCAGCCACTCAACAGGTGTCGGTATTTGAGCCTGGGTGAAACCTCGTCATTGGTGGGTGGTCAAAGAGAGCGTCCTCTATGTTGACCTGCCACCAATATCAGCCATGAGCCTGGTGGGCGAGTGACTAGGGTGAACGTCTCCACGATAATCAAACCCCTGGGGAAACTGGGTCCCTGGATCTGTGACCCACATAGGATTTTCCACTCATGAACCTCATGGAAGAACTTGGTTTACTTGATTTTCCTTGTCTTTGCAGTAGAAAAACGATGAAACTGAAAGGTGGAGGAAGTAGAAAGAAAAAGAAAAAAGAATGGGAAAGCAAAAAGAGAGACTGCTTACCAAAATAGCCAGTGGTGTGCGCCTGTGGGCTGGTCTGATGACCCCCGGTTGGTAGGTAGATCTCTTCACGGAGGGAGCACAAGAACAGGGTCGGGGGTTTGGTCTCCCATAGGAGTTCCCCTGTCCCGGGTTTCCGGCGCCAAATGTTGAAAAACTCTTGCTTTGAATGAAGAGAACTTCCAAACAGGCTTTGTGTGAGCAACATGGCTGTTTTTTCACCTGGGTGCAGGTGGGCTAAGGCGGAAAAGAACATTAGCAAAGGGCAGTGGGAGTTGGTTTTATAGGTTTGGGTAGTTTTTTTGGGGGATGGGGGTGTTGCAGAGTAAGTTCAGTTACAGTGGTGGGGGTAGGGGCAAGGGAGTATACATGCCCACAAGTTCAGTTACAATGGCAGGCTTGGGTGAGAGGTATGTACATTATCATAAGAACAGTTAAGATGGCAGGGTTGGGTGAGGGGCTTGTCTGCGGAAGCTCCACCACCGGGTGATTAGGAAGAATGGCGAATGCAGGCGGCGGGTGGGAGACATCAGCTGAGGCAAGCAGGGCTTCAGACTTTCAGGCTCTAGGCTTGCGTATGGAGACCTGGCAGTCATGACTTCAAAGGTACATTCCCCACTGTGGGTCAGAGCAAGTGCAAGCAGCCTACATGGTGGTTGAAGCCCAAGACCTTAGCCCAGGTTAAGCCAATGCAACTGCTTGTCATGAGCTGGGCAAAGACAGATACAGCTCATATTTTTATTGCTTTCCTGGCACAGTGCATAGTGCATGGTAGGAGCTCAGAGTGACCTTTCTAAAATGCAAATAGGTCAGCGCAACTTCTTTACCTTCAGGATAAAACCCAACAGCGTGGGCCTATCAGGCTCTGTGAGCATTCCTGCCTTTTGTGCCAGTTTCCGCTGCCAACATTCTGAGTTACTTGCAAGCTGCCACAATGGCCCATGGGTTCTTCTGTCTCCATGTCTTTGCACCTGCTGTCCCTCCAGAAGTCCTCCTCACTAATATGCCACTTCCCCCATTCCACTACTACATGACTATTTCAAGTCTTCAGAAATCAGGGGATGAGATAGTTCCAGGAAGTCTTTCTCTACTTCTCTCCATCCCCTCAGAGTTAGCTGATTTCAACACAACTTGAGCTCCCCTCAATGATAATGCTGCTTATGCTGGATTTCAACTGCTAGTTTCCTTGTCTTTCCATGCATATTATAAGTGCCTCAGGGCAGAGGTTGTGGCTTTCATTTCCATCTTCAGCACTCAACAGGGTACCTGATACATTATAGAAACTCCAATTATTGGGATAATCCCTCCCCTTTTTTTTTTTTTTTTGACAGTTTTGCTCTCATTGCCCAGGCTGTAGTGCAATGGTGCGATCTCAGCTCACTGTAACCTCTGTCTCCTGGGTTCAAGTGATTCTCCCTCCTCAGCCTCCTGAAAAGCTGTGACTACAGGCATGCGCCACTATGCCCGGCTAACTTTTTTGTATTTTTAGTGGACCTAGGATTTCACCATGTTGGTCAGGCTGGTCTCGAACTCCTGACCTCCAGTGATCCACATACCTCAGCCTCCCAAAATGCTGAGATTTCAGTTGTGAGCCACCATGCCCAGCCTTGGTGGGGTAATCTTATTACCTTGTTCATCACACATTTGCATGCTTCAAGGCAGATTTAATTTGTCCAGGAAGTGGAAGTCATTTGGAGTCACAACTGGCAGTATAAGTAACTTATCCAACTCCTAAGTATCATTTTGGTCAAAACCAAGTTTGCCTATAAAGTAATGTGTTTGATTTATATTTTGTATTTACAGTGAACTCCAATAGTTAAATCACAGTGAACTGCAATAATTGTTGAAATAACTATATTGTAAAGACAACTACTTTGAAGAACAGCTTTCATTTGGATGTATAGATAATGGAATGCTTATTTAAAAACCAATTGTATTACTGTAGATAGAATTTGAGTGTCTATATACTTAGGAGATATGAGATTATGCATTGCTCCTGTGCCCAAGGCAGGCATCATTCATCAGTCACAGAATTCCTTCCCTACTAATCCAGGCACATTCTTAAAATGTATTTTAAGATTATACTCCCCATTAGCAGTTCTCAAAATATGGTCTAGTGATCCAAGTAGTACTCTGAGATTCTTTCAGGGAGTCTATGAAGTCAGAATTCTTTTCATAATAGTACTAAGATATTATTTGCCTTTTCACCTTTTCTCATCAGGGTAAAGTATTTAGATTTAAGTAGCATTAGTCACTTAGAGAACAACAGCGATGTAATCTGAGACTTTGTTGACCATCAAAAAATAATTTTCCAAAATGACAGTAAATGAGCCTGTATTTCTTAGAAAACTCAAAAGACCTAGATATAAAATAATTGTATTAGAAAGGGCTTCTTGCTTATTCTCATAGGACTAAATCATAACAATGACCATAAAACAATGTTTATCTGGCCCTGCCCTAGCTGCTCTGTGGGGCTCCATCCCCTATAGTTTCTCCCCAGTCAGCTCTGAGAGCCCCTAGAGGGGTCTTGCATGTGCTATTTCTTGGCTGCCGTTCCACAAGGGGATCAGCTTCCTAGAAGCCTTTGTGTCGCTCCAGGACCGGATTAGACGGCCTTCCAATGATCCCTTGGTAACAGCGGTCACCCAGTTTTTGACGTTTGTCATCTTTCCCACATTGAGAGTTGCTAAAGGGGACTCTCTTTCTCTCATTCATTTCATGGGCTTGGCACAGTGCACAGACATGGCAGGAGCTTGGAAGATATTCAGTGAATAAAGAGCAAATCCAAAACCATGGTGTTGAGCAAAGGGGCTCTGCAGAGAGTGGGAGCAGAAGGGAGCCCAGATTTGGGGTGAGCTAGAGGGGAGTTCGGAAGGATGCAGTGTGCGAGAGGAGTCCAGGAAAAGGATAGCAGTCCAGACGAATGGAAAGCATGTTGGAAGATTTCTGAAGACAGAATACCAACCACAGCAGCTTTTTAGCTGGTCACCTCTATGAATGTGCATCAGCTTAAAAAGCCAGGGTGATGCAGACACACTTCAAACTATTCCAGCTTTATAATACCGTGCACACCTGGCTCTATGGACTTGAAGTGGCACACAGGTCAGCATCTATACATGGTCTTTGTGTGAAGTAAACTTGAATAAATTTCAAGTTTTCGGTGGCTTGTTCTTAGAAATAAATTTAAAAACACGTAAGAGTCTAAAACTAAAAAAATGGTCATACAATTTAGGAAGACTCCAGTTTATTAAATGAATTTTAAAGGTCATTATACATTATTTGGAATCATGCAGGATAAGTAAGGATTTTTCCTCATTTGAAATGTGATAACATTAAAATATTTTCCAATATAATAATCAATGCTGTTGTCTGTAAAATGCCTATATCAATGGCTCTTTTGAATTGTTTTGCAAATGCTTGAAGAAAGAACAACCACAGGACCTCAAGGAGATATGAATTAATTTTGAAATAAAGAACCTTCTTTAACATTCTAGCATCAACAGCCTTAGCTGCAAATGTAAGAAATAGCAATACACATGATGCCAGCATAATTTATGGCTGCACATTTCAGTATTTGATATAGAACATTAATCAATGCCTTAAAGAACATTTTGTTCTTCAGTTATTTGATTTCATACAAAAGTAACAGGCCATTTCATTATTTCCATGAGTGAATATGAACCCTAAACATTTTTTTTGACTGAATTATTGCTGAGGAAAAAAGGAGAAATAGCTTATGGCAATGGCAACTTGTTAGGATTGTATAAGCCATTCATTCATTGAATAAATATTTATGGATCCCTATTATATAGGAGGCCCTAGGAAAATGATGGAACAACTAGGTCATGTTCACTGCCCTCAAAGTTTTGCACTGTAGAGTTAGGTAGCTTTGAGCAATGTGCTCTTGGGAGGTAAAAAGGCAGCAGTAAGGCTGTATATGATTGGGTTCAAAAGTACAAGAAGTTATTACAAAAGTGATAGGAATTAAGAAAGTGTGAGGATAAGTTTGTATGGTGTCAGTCAAGGCAGGCTTCCTGTAAGACAGAGCATCTTAAAGAAGGTATAGGACTTGTTAGGTAGCAGAGAAACCTGAGTGGCTCCAAAGAATAATTCTGCTTAATTAAGTATTCTGATTAATATTTAAGATAGATCTGTTTGCCCAGAGAATACTGCAAATATATCTCCTCATTTGGGATTACTTTGTGGTTTGTTTTGAGATGGAGTCTCACTCTGTTGCCCAGGCTAGAGTTGCAATCTTGGCTCACTGAAAACCTCTGCCTCCTGGGTTCAAGGGATTCTCCTGTCTCAGCCTCCTCAGTAGCTGGGATTACAGGTGCACATCACCACGCCCAGCTAATTTTTGATTTTTTTTTTTTAGTAGAGATGAGGTTTCACCATGTTGGTCAGGCTGGTCTCGAACTCCTGACCTTGTGATCTGCCTGCCTCGGCCTCCCAAGTTTTGAGATTATAGGGGTGAGCCACCATGTCCAGCCAGGATTACTTTGTTATAAGACATTTTCTGTGAAGGGGGCATTCTTTAAAATGACTAAAACAAATTACAAACTCTAAGCCAAACTAAAACAGAAGATTGGCTCTACTGGTCACCAGCTACAACAGAAATTGTAACTCCTTCTGAAAGCAAGTGATTTCAGATTGAATAATACACAGTCTATTTTTCTCTCCTCTCCCTCTACTTCCTCCTTTACTCTTGTCTTGACTCAAGCAGATCCAAGATTTTGGCTTCATTTCCTCTAGGGAGAAATATAATGGGAGGAGTATTCCTGGTTGTTTCAAAAGCCAGGCTCACCAGTTTTGGTTTGACAAGGAGAAGAGTGATTTGGAATGCAGTGATGGGAAAGAGAGACTTTCCTTTCAGGTTGGGGACAGGACAGAGAGAAGCCTGGAGTCCCACACAGAGGGCCTGTGTGTAGCCTCCTGAAAAGAGAGGACAGCACAGTGGGCTTGGGCAGAAAAGACCTAGGGCAGTCCTGCCAGAGGGCGAGGGGCAGTGTGTGCAGGTGCAGGCCCCAAGATCCCAGTCCAAATCTTCTAAGAAAGAATTTCTCTTGCTCCCAGTTGGGTGGGTCTTGAAATTGACATCATGATGATTTACAGAAAATAAAGAGCTTCACCACTTCTTGCTTATCTAAACCTTTTTTTTTCTTCCTTTTGTCCAAAAGGGTTCTTCTTCTTGGTTTGTATCATTTTGTTTCTTGGGTGGAAAGAGAAGACCGTTTTCCTCCCTGATTCATACCGTAGAAACACTTTGTATTCATGTGTTGTGCCATCAACTGGGCAGTCTCTTTATGAGAAAGGGTTAGGGAGGCAGTTTCCTGTAGCTAGAGACCAGAAGCACCTGAAGCTGAGCTCCTGCTTTCCAACCTCTTTCTGCCTTGGTGGGTGGGTGTGGGAGCCAGAGACAAGAGCCTCCCAAACGCTGAGCCGATTCTGCCTCCTCACTTGGGCAAAGAGGAAAGCGAATGGGGGCAGAACAATGGGACTGCTGTGGAGAGAGGGAACCAGTCAGTTCCATAACCAAACCAGCTTCCAGATCCGGGCTGCAGACCCCTCAGGGCCTGGCTGCCCTCTGGGAAGCTTGACATATATTGAATGCCCGCTCTTGAGCAGCTTCAATAGCTCAGCCCTGTGGACACTGGGATACAGGACCAATTTTCTGCCCACTGGTAGAAAAGGACTGGGACAGAGGAGGGGACCTTATGAAACCAGCCCCTCCCAGGGCCAAACTGAGTGTTCTAGGCAAAATAACTCATCCATTGGCATCTGAGACATGTGTGAAGCCGGCTTGACTAGAGGACCTTTGAAGAAGAATCAAGGCCAGACACTGAAAATGCTTGGCCTCAATTCAGTACCTCTTGAACCAGTGTGAGGGTAGAGGGAGTTATTTAGCACTAAATTATATGCCAAGCCCAAGCAATGTATCAGATTTTGTATCTCTGCCCAAGAAGCTCCCATCTGCTGAAGGTGAGACAAACAATGATTTTCACAGTTGTGGAACAGGGAGACAAACATACAGAAATGTCAGTGACTTTATGCAAAAGCGGGTTCTCTGTCCATGTATCTCCCAAGTTTGTTATTTTGTTTTATGTAGGTTCAGGGGGTACATATGCAGGTTTGTTACATGGATATGTAGTGAATCCTCCATCCAAGTAGTGAACACTGTACACTAGGTACCTTCTTAGCCCTCATCCCCCTCGCACCTTCCCCCATTTTGGAGTTCCCGGTTTCTACTGTTTCCATCTCTGTGTTCATGTGTACCCATTGTTTAGCTCCCACTTATAAGTAAGAACACACAGTATTTGATTTTCTGTTTCTGAGTTAGTTCACTTAAAGGCCCCCATTCTCTATCCATGTTGCTGCAAAGGATCTGATTTCATTCTTTTCTATGGCTGCATGGCATGTCATGGTGAATAGATACCACATTTTCTTTATCTAATCATCTGTTGACGGACACGTAGGCTGATTCCATATCTTTGCTATTGTGAATAGTGCTGTGAGAAATATACAAGTGCAGGTATCTTTTTGATAGAATGATTCCTTTTATTTGGGTAGACACCCAGTGGTGAGATTCCTGGGTCAAATGGCGGTTTTATTTTTCTTCCTTTGAGATAGCTCTATACTGTTTTCCATCGGAGATGAACTAATTTACACTCATACCACCAGTGTATAAGTATTCCCTTTCTCTGCTTCCTTGCCAACATCTTTTATTTTATGACTTTTTGATAATAGCCATTCTGAGTGGTTGTGAAATGGTATCTCATTCTGATTTTAATTTGCATTTCTCTGATGCTTAGTGATGTTGATGTTTTTTTCATATATTTGTTGGCCACTTGTATGTCTTCTTTTGGGACGTGTCTACTATGTCACTTTTTAATAGTTTTTTTTTAATTCATTTGAGTTCATTATAGATTCTAGATATTAGTCTTTTGTTAGATGCATAGTTTGCAAATATGGTCTCCCTTTTTACATTTTAAGTAAGATTGTCTGCTTACTTTATTGTTTCTTTTGTTGTGCAGAAACTCTTTAGTTGATTAAGTTTATTTGTCTGTTTTTGTTTTTGTTGCATTTGCTTTTGAGGTCTTAGTCATAAATTCTTTACCCAGGACAATGTCTAGAAGAATTTTTCCTAGTTTTTTTTTCTAGGATTTTTATAGTTTCAGGTCTTACATTTAAACCTTTAGTCCATATTGTGTTAATTTTTGTATATAGTGAGAGATATGGGGTCCATTTTCATTCTTCTGCACATAGCTATGTAGTTTTCCCAGTACCGTTTGCGTCCTTTCTCCATTACCTATTTTTGTTGACTTTGCCAAAGATAAAGTTGGTTGTATGTATGTGGCTTTATTTCTGCGTTCTCTCTTCTGTTCCATTTGATCTATATTTCTTTCTTTTCTTTTTTTTTTTTGAGACGGAGTTTTGCTCTTGTTACCCAGGCTGGAGTGCAATGGCGCGATCTCAGCTCATCACAGCCTCTGCATCCTGGGTTCAGGCAATTCTCCTGCCTAAGCCTTCTGAGTAGCTGGGATTACAGGCACGCACCACCATGCCCAGCTAATTTTTTGTATTTTTAGTAGAGACGGGGTTTCACCATGTTGACCAGGATGGTCTTGATCTGTTGACCTCGTGATTCACCCGCCTCGGCCTCCCAAAGTGCCGGGATTACAGGCTTGAGCCACCATGCCCGGCCTTGATCTATATTTCGATTTTTACCAGCACCATGCTGTTTTGGTTGTTATAGCCTTGTACTATAGTTTAAAGTGAGGTAATGTAACGGCTCCAGCTCTGTTTCTTTTGCCTAGGATTGCTTCAGCTATTTGGTCTCTTTTTGGTTCATATGTACTTTAGGATTATTTTTTCTAATTCTCTGAAAATTACATTGTTAATTTGATAGAAATTGTGCTGAATCTCTAGATTGCTTTGGGCGGTATGTCACTTTGACGCTATTCATTCTTCCTATCCATTGTACATGGGGTGTTTTCTCATTTGTCTGTGTCATCTACCATTTCTTTCATCAGTTTTGTAGTTCTCCTTGTAGAGACCTTTCACTTCCTTGGTTAAATGTATTTCTAGGTATATTTTTTGTGGCGTTACTATAAATGGCGTTGAGTTCTTGATTTGGTTTTCAGCTTGAGTGTTGGTGTATAGAAATGTAATTGATTTTGAATGTTAACTTTGTATCCTAAAACTTTACTGAAATTGTTTATCAAATCTAAGAGTATTGAAGAAATCTTTAGGGTTTTCTAGGTATAAAATCATGTCATCAGCAAACAGATCATTTGACTGCCTCTTTTCCTGCTGGGATGCCTTTTATTTCTTTATCTTGCCTGATTTCTCAGGCTAGGACTTTCAGTGCTGTTTTGAATAGCCAGGGTGAGAGTGAGCATCCTTGTGTTGTTCCAGTTCTTAGGGAGAATAATTTCAACTTTTTATCATTTTGGATGTTGGCTGGGGATTTGTCAGATATGGCTCATATTATTTTGAGGTATGTTCCTTTGATGTCTATTTAGTTGAGTATTTTTTTTTCATGAGAGGATACTAGATTTTATCAAATGCCTTTTCTGTATTTATTGGGATGATCATATAATTTTCATTTTTAATTCTGTTTATGTGGTGAATCACATTAATTGATTTGCATATATTGAACCATCCTTGTATCACTTGAATTATCTTTTGATGTGCTGTTGGATTCAGTTTTCTGGCATTTTGTTGAGGAACTTTATGTATATATTTACCAAAGATGATATCAACCTGTAGCTTTCTTTCTCTGTTATGTCCTTGTTAGATTTGGGTATCAGGATGATGCTGATTTCATAGAATGAGTTAGGAAGGAATCTCTCTTCCTTGATTTTTGGAATAGTTTCAGTAATATTGGTACCAGCATTTCTTTTTACATTTGATAACATTTGGCTGTGAATCCATCTTGTCCTGGGCTTTATTTTTTTTTCCTATAGGAAAAATTTAAATCACAGATTCAATTTTATTACTCTTATCAATCTGTTCAGGATTGCTGTTTCTTCCTGATTCAATCTGGGAAGATTGTATGTCTTCAGGAGTTTACTCATTTCCTCTAGAATTTCTAGTTTGTGTGCATAGAAATGTTCATCATGGTCTCTGATGATCTTTTTAATTTCTGTGAAATCAGTTGTAATGTCAACTTTATTAGTTCTGATTCTATTTATTTGAATCTTCTCTCCTTTTAACATGGTTAATCTAGCTAGTGGTCTATCAGTTTTGTTTATTCCTTCAAAGAATGAGCTTCATTTCATTGATCCTTTGTATGATTTTTTTTTGTCTCAATGTTATTAAGTCCTGCTTTAATCTTTGTTATTTCTTTTCTTCTGCTAGCTTTGAGTTTTTTGTTGTTTTCATAGTTTCTTGATGTGTCATGTTAGGTTGCTAATTTGAGATCTCTCTGTCTTTTTGATGAAGACATGAAATGCTATAAACCTCTCTCTTAACACTGCTTTTTCTGTGTCCCTGAGGTTTTGGTATGTTGTGTCTCTGTTTTCATTTATTTCAAAAATGTTTTTGATTTCTGTCTTAATTTCATTGTTTATTGAAAAGCCTTTCAGGAGCAAGTTGTTTACTTTCCACATACTCGTGTGGTTTTGAGAATTCCTTTTGGTAATGATGTCTGATTTTAATCCATTGTGATCTGAGAAGATACTTAATATGATTTCATTTTTTGAATTTATTAAGACTTGTTTTAAAGTTAAGGATATGGTTCATTTTAGAGAATTTTTATATGCATACAAGAAAAACATATATTCTGCAGTTGCTGGGTGGCATGTTCTGTAGATGTTTATTAGATCCATTTGGTCAAGAGTCCAGTATAAATCCAGAGTTTGTTAGTTTTCTGCCTTGATGATCTGTCTGGTGCTGTCAGTGGGATGTTGAAGTCCTTCGTTATTTTTGTATGGCCGTCTATACTTTTCTGAGGTCTAGAAGAATTTGTTTTATAAATCTGGGTGCTCCAGAGTTGGGTGTGTATATATTTAAGATAGTTAAGTCTTCTTTTCTAATTGAAGTCTTATCTAAGAATAGCACCCCCTGCTGTTTTTTGATTTTCATTTGAGTGACAGCTTATTTTTCACCCCTTTACTTTGGGCCTGTGGGTGTCTTTATACATTAAGTGGGTGTCTTGCAGGCATCAGATGGTTGGGTCTTATTTTTTAAATCCGAGTTACCAATGTGTATCTTTCAAGTGAACTATTTAGGCTGTTTATATCCAAGATTAATATTGATATGTGAGGTTTGTTTCTGTCATAGTGTTCTTAGCTGGTTGCTTTGTAGTCTCAATTGTGTAACTGTTTTATGGAATCTGTGAACTTCACATGTATGTGTGCTTTTATGGTAGTGAGTATTGTCTTTTTGTTTCTATGTTTAGAACTATTTTGAGCATTTACTGTAGGCTAGGTGTAGTGGTGATGAATTCCCACGGCACTTACTTGTCTGGGAACGACTTTCTGTTTTTTTAGAAGCTTAGTTTATTAGGATATAAAATTCTTGATTGACATCTTTCCTTCCTTAAGAAGGCTAAAGATAGGCTCTCAATGTCTTCTGATGTGCAAAACTTCTCTTGAGAAATCTACTGTTAGTCTGATGGGATTTTCTTTATAGATGATGTGACCTTTTTATCTAGCTGCCTTTAAAATTTTTTCTTCAGCAATGATCTTGGATGGTCTGATGTCTATATGCCTTGGTAATATTCATCTTATTTAGTATCTTGCAGGTGTTTTCTGAAATTCTTGTAGCTGGATGTCTACCACTCTAGCAAGATCAGATACATTTCCTGAATTATTGCCTTAAATATCTTTTCCAAATTGGTAACTTTTTCTTCTTCTCCTGTCTTAGAAATGCCTATAAGTCATAGGTTTGGTCACTTTACATAATCCCTTATTTCTTGAAGGTTTTATTCACCTGAAGATACATACATATTTTATTTATTTTTATCTGAGTTAATTCAAAGGACTGGTCTTCAAGCTCTAAAATTCTTCTGCTTGATTTAGTCTAGTAAATCAAGTTTTCAACTGTATTTTGAAATTACTCTAGCAAATTTTTTATTTTAAGATGCTTTGTTTGTTTTAAATATAGCCACCTCAGTCAGACGCAGTGGCTAATGCCTATAATCCCAGCACTTTGGGAGGCCAAGGCAGGTAGATCATTTGTGTCTAGGAGTTTGAGACCAGAGTGGCCAAAATGGTGAAACCCTGTCTCTAGTAAAAATACAAAAACTAGCCAGGTGTGGTGGCGGAAGCCTATGATCCCAGTTACTAGGAAGGCTGAGGCAGGAGAATTTCTTGAATCCAGGAGGTGGAGGTTGCGGTGAGCTGAGATCATGCCACTGCACTCCATCATGGGTGACAGAGCAAGACTCTGTCTCATATATGTGTGTGTGTGTGTGTGTGTGTGTGTGTGTGTGTGTGTGTACGTATATGTGTTTAATTGATTTTCTGATTTCTTTATGTTTTGTTTTTAACTTTCTCTTGGATCTCATTGAGCTTCTTTACAATCCATACTTTGAGTCTTCTGTCATTTCAGAATTTTCATGTTGGTAAGGATCCATTGCTAGAAAGCTAGTGTGATTTTTTTTTGTGTGTCAGAATACTGTCTTTTTGTACTGCTAGAGTTCTTGTAGTGATTCCTTCTCAGCTAAAGAAGCTGTCACTTCTTACTTTTAAATTTGCTATTGTTTGGCTGAGAATTTTAAAATTTATTTTTCCCCAGAAGGTATGACTGTGTTGTATGTTGTGTGTGACCATTTGGTTTCATTTCTGAATGCTTTCAGGGGACCAAGTCTCTGTATGGCTTGCTTGGTTATGGATAGCTTTTATGCAGTGGTTCTTTCAAATGCTGCTTGTTGGAGTGACGTATTGGGTATACAACACACTATACTGAAACATATTGACACACTATCTTCTGCAGGGATGGGAATGTGAAGGTCTTAGAAAGCTTGTCTCCTATGCTAGCACTGTGCCCTTCTTGCAGGCTTTTTATTTGGTGGTGCAGTTTGGTCTCCATACCAGTAGGTGGCACTAAAGAATAAAAGCTGGCTAGCCCTTGGGTAGCCTGGTGATGAGTGGAGGAATCTGCCCTTATGGGGAGTGGAGTTGGGGTGAGGAGGTGGTGGGGGGAGTTGTGTTCGGATGTGTTGAGGTCTCAGGGCCGGGAGCAGGAGTAGGGGCCCCACCAGCTCCTTGCCTTGGACAGGAAAGAACACAGTCTGCTTCCCTATCACGCCTCTGTCACAGGGCTCAAGACCTTCTGTTTGTATAGACGTTGTCCTTTAGCTTCTGGCTGCAGTGTGACTGAGGTCCGCAGGAATGCTGCACTGGTGGCTACCACCGAAATGGGCTTGGAACAGAGCCTCTTCCTCCAGTCTAGGGCAGACAGCTCTGCAGCTTGTCTGCCGTGCATTTCTGGGATGCTGCCACTGTGTATAGGAAGAGAGAGATAGGTCCTCCCCTTCATGTAAGCCTGGGTATCATGGGCTCACTTTTACCAGGGGTACAGTTGCTACAAAGAGCCCTGGCAAGGCTGTCTCTAAGTGCACTCATGCCAGCCCCCATCAGGGAAAGCCTCTGCTGTGACTGCAATGGTAGACGGGGGAGCAGAAGATGACCCCTTCTCCACGTTTGATCCTGGTCCCTGGTGCTGCCCCATTTAGCATGTGGCGTAACACCAGTTTGTACTTTTTTTCCAAGAAGGGCTTGTACTTTCCCTTCCCCTCTCCTCCCTGGTTTATTGAGTTATAACCTGTAGATTACTGGGTATACACGCAGCAAGACAGCACAATGTGACTCCCATTAAATAAAATCAACGCTTGCTGCTTACAGTGGTGGGGGATTCTCCCCACTTCTATATCTTTAAGCTCAGACTTCTGGGCCTTTTTTGACAAAGAGACTCATAGATGTCCCAAAGGCGATTAGAACAAAGTAAGAGGAGGCCTCTTAAAAGGATTAAAAAAAACCAAGAGGTTAGAATGTTGGGGGTTAGAATCCCCCAACAATACTGTATATGAAGCCTTTGGCTCTGTGTTAGGTACACACACACCACACACACACACACACACACACACACACACACAATGACTCTATTGTGAAATATTTAACTGTTTATTTTTGAAGAGTAACCATTTGATTACTTTTATTACTTTTATATATTATATTATTATTATTAATTATGCTCTGCTGTTATCCATACAAAAAAAATATAAATGATCCAGTGGAAAAACTACGTAACTCACTGTTTGGCCACTGGAGACAAATCTGCATCCTCTAAGAGTACCTTTCCCTTCAGCTTGCTTTCTTTTCTTTTTTAACTTATTTTTATTCCAAAGAGAAACTGAAGAGCCTTTCAACAGTTGCCGGTCCATCAAGAAGTTTAAGCCTGCCAGTCTCTTGTGTGCATCAGAACAAAAATGCAATTACTCTTTGCTGTGGGCAAGGGGGACATCCTAGGTACCAGACAATTTCAGTGACTTGCTCAAGGTCACACCCACCAGCAGCAGGTGATGGGGCTGGGATATAGAATCAAGACGTGTTTAACTCCAGATCTCACATTCTTCTTACTGGCGCTTCGCTGCCAAGAAGCCGCTAATCCAACTAGGAAAACCACATGTCATAGAAGGAATGGGGACTCCAGGAGATGCCACCCACCTCTCTGCACCACATGGGGCCAGGGCATCTTATCTCTTCCCCAAGTCCCTTGGATGAGTTTTTCTGTGACCAGACTACTGACTCCAGAGGTTAGGAGTTCTTTTTCCCATGGGTAGAAAATGAGCAGCAAACAAGATGGGTGCTATCGGCTGACGGAGACTTACTCCCAAGCTCTCCTTTTGCTGTATCTTGGCTAAAGCATGCAATTAGAGTAAGGTTCAAGGAGGTGGAATGCATGCTAATGATTCATACCTGAACACAAACAGAACTCCACTCTCCCTCCCATCGGGTCCATTTTAGGTGAGGAAGCGCTTCAGCTCTCAGGTTAAGATCTGGCTGTAATTCCACAGTGGGTCCAGGGAAAGTCAGAAAATTCCCAGCTAATTGCCTACTTATTAGAAAACATGTCAGGCAGCCCAGGATAGGAACAGTGACTTGCCCAAAGTGGCAAAGGGAAAAGGCGAGGTCATGTCTTTACTTTTCCTCTTATTCTGTCTCCCTCTTTTATTCTCTAAGATGCATCCTTTTAGAAGCAGCAGAGGGCAAAGGTCTGCTAGAGGGAAGAGGGTGGACCTACCCTTTATATTGACATTCAGAATACCACCCACACTGGACCACCCACCACACTGACCTCCTAACCACACTGGACCTCCCAACCCTGATGCTTTTTCTTCACTATATGTGGCTCCCAGAGAGAGAAAATGGAGGTGCCAGGCTTCTCCTCCACCTCTCCCTCCTTTCTGTTTCTCTTTCTTGGCATATTCTTGAGCTCTGTGATGAAGCCCCAGCATGCTGAGTAACTGACCTTTAGCTAGAGGCTCCTCTTGCAGGTTGAGAGGGTTTGGCTGCAGGTGGTACCGTTGTGTCCATCATCTTCACCTGTTTCATAAGGACTCTCAAGTTTTGCATGATTCTTTTCAAAAACACCTCTTGGCATTTAGAGATCATTTCAGATGGAGAGAGCCCACTTCTGGTCTTGGGAGGCCAGGAAGGCTGGCCGGGGGAGGTCTGGGAGCTGGGGATATTAATGTGATTTCTGTGCACTTTGGGATGCAGTCTATCTATGCCTCGTGAAAATGTGCAGGTTTTCTTTCCTTTCTTTTTCCCTTAAGGTCCATGCCATGAGTCTTGCAGGGTATAGAAGGGGTGGGTAGTAATGGTGCAGAAATGGGCCTCATGCGTGATGGGCCTTAAGCAGTTTGCCCTTCTTTAACAGGGCTGTGACGGGCTGTGGCATCAGATCTCATTTTCCTGCCTTGTGCAGAACTTGTACCGCTGCCCTGCCAAGCCAGGCAAAGGACTCAAAGGCCCTATTTACTGGGTCTACCTGAGTCAGGAAAGGCTTCCTTTGTCAGTCATTGGATAATTATGATAAAAGGGGCCTTGCCCCCTTCACTGCTGTCAAACAGCAGGCCCCTCCCTGCCCTCCGTCTGTTGGGGCACGCCATTGAGAGCCTGCATCGCCAGTGGCAGCCCTCTGCTGTCCTGCTCTCCCAATCCCCCCCACTCCCCATTCAGGTTGTCCTCAAGAGTCTAAAATCATTCCTCTTTACTTCCAAACTCCTCCTCAGGAATCAGTCATCTTAGTCCTGATAGTCCTCTGTCAGTCACCAGAGAGGTGTCATATAGGGAAACCATCCATTTTGCTGTGGCTTAGAATCATGGCAACAACCACAAAATAATATTTCTCTGGCACCTCCCCCTCTGCTGCTCTGTAGGGCTCCAGTCCTCCAACTTTCTCTCAAATAGTCCCAAGAGTCCTTTGACAATGACTCTTTCATGAATTATTCCTTATTTTTGTCTTTTGCTGCTCATCTGGGTGAGGGTTCCAGGCTGCTACCAGTCTTTAAACTGACAGGTAGGCCATGAAAGATGCCAGAAGGTCCTGTGGCTGCAGATTTGCTACAGATACCTGGCTAAGGTCCAGGGAGGTGCTCGTGCTCATGGCATTTAAAGCATCGCTATCGAGTCTGCTGCTGCTGCTGTTCAGTCACCAGAGAGGTGTCACGTATTTTGTGTATGTGCGTCAGTAAGACTCAGGAGTGGTGATTTCTAGTCAATTACGTTTTGGTAACTGTCTTTATAACTCACATTTTCACTTTTGTTTTCCTAAGTTGGACCTTGGAAGAACACAGGAGAGGAGAAGCCTGAAGCCCTCTCTAGTGAAGAGCCAGGAGAAGGGACATGCAGGGGCTCAGAGTCTTTCCAGTCCCCACTGGGGAGGAAGAAATGGGGAATGTGATAATCGGGCCTAAATCACAGCCCTCACAAAGAAACTCACTGCAGGTTATCAAATTGGAACTCAAAGACTGAGATCTGTCAACAGAGGGACAGAGAATGTTGAGGTCGCTTAGCCTGCTCTACCACACAGAACCCTGATTGCGTCTGTAGTAATCCTGATGGATATTTTTCTAGCGGCTGTTTGCACATTTCCAACCTGAGTGAGGAGGGGTCTGGAATGGAATTCCATATTCCTGCTGTGGCACCACCACACTTGCATGCCAAGTTCTCCTTGGTTTAGGTAAAATAGAAAGCATTGCCTCCCACCACACGCCTTGGGGCCCCAGGAACACATTTTGGCACAGTCTTTACCTCCCGATACCCCCTGGCTAACACGTGGGCATCTCTGGGAGTTGACGCTTTCTGGTAGTTACCATAATTGCCAGGCTTCCAGCCTCATCAGCTGCTCAGTGCTTGGAGGCTGGCAAGTGTTGAAGTGACAGAGGGGAATATAAGAGAAATGAAGTTATGAGGGTAAGAGGCACAAAACATGCACCTGCCAAGAGATTGGATGGAGGCAGCAACAGTCAAGGTGGTTTCAAGCTTAGTGTTCAATCTTCTAAAGGACATTTGGGTTTCAAGAGCAGGGAGAAGACGATCACTCATTCATTCATTCCTTTACCCAACACAAATTTACTGAATGCCTACTGTGTGCCGGGCGTGGTTCTCCGTGGTGAAGATTCAGAGAGAGGGATAAGACATTGTTTCTCTTCAAAGGACCTTAGTGTCCAGTGGGAGTAAAACCATGAAGCTGATCAATGTGATAGGATGTGGCCAGTGCAATGGGAGAGGCATGCCACGTGCTGTGGTAGAAGTCACGCACAGAGGAAGGAGGGAGGCGCCATGGCAGGCTTCAGAAAGAGGCCTTAGCAGCTGGCCTGGGGGTAGGGTAGGTGAGGGTTCCAGGCAGAGTGGAACCATGAGCAAAAGCATAGCGATGCAGAAGGGAACTGTGAGCCATGGGGTGCTGTCATAATGGAGAGACCAAGATGAGGGTGCCGGGTAGCCAGGCCCATGGCCACCTCAAATACCATGTTGAGGAACTTGGACTTTATCCTGCAGGCCATGAGGTAGCCCTGAAGTTTTTCAAGGAATGGTGAGGCCAGAGGGGAATCCCATGAAAGCCTGGTCTAGGACCACAAACCCAGAGTCACACTGTGACTGTGTGAAGAGCTTCCAGTCCCGTCAGGGAGAAAAGCAAGAGTTCATACATACGATTGCGTGAAAGAGACTTCTTTGCCCAGCTAGAAAACAGCTTCTCAGAGATGCAAGCCTAGTTATTTTGAACTTTGACTCAGTGGCTTCTGTTTCACAGAAATGCATTCTCCAAAATTTCTCTGGGATTTTTAGCTGTGGATTTGAGACAGGAGCTGCTCACACATTTCAGTGCTCATTTCATCAGCGTCTACATGCTCATCAGTTACTGTCTACAAGCCCTTTCTTATTTCCTCCCTTTCTCTCTCTCTTTCTCCTTACCCCTCCTTCCCTCCCTTCCTTTCATAGTGATCGAGTGCCCATTCATCAATGCGAGCAAGGAAAAACTCATCTGTAGTTCTTTCCACCAAGGGAACCCCTGGCCTTTTAGAGGTTTCCCTATGTCATTCTTACTTAGGCAAGGCCAAAAAGGCTGGGCTCCTTCATAAGAACAGAAGGGAATGGAATGAAGAGTGAAAATATGCCTGAGGATGGGAGCTAGTACTTTATGAGTTTGGCTGGGAGGGGCTGTGGTGTAGGAAAGATATGGGACATTTTTGTAGTGTAGACCATCAATTAAGTAGGTAACCAGGAGGTAGCTGTCAAATCTTGACTCTTCTCCCGACACAGTGTGCACTGCCATTGATTGGCAGAGTTGTCTTCCAGAGAAAACAGCAGTTTGGTTAATAGCAGCAGAGAGGCCCCCAAGCTGGAACGGTGAGTTTACTTCTCAACGTTAAGCTTTCATTTTACCTCACTTTGGCCTCCAAATGGAAGCTTTCTTCTTTTCTGTTTTGTCAGGTGCATGTATGGGGTGGAGGCATGTCAGAGGGATTTGCCTGCCACGGGAGATCCTAGAAGGCAGAGTCCCATAATGTTATCATGTCAGCTGAAAAGAGCCTTAGAGATGAGCTTTGCATTCATTCAACAATTTTCTTTCTTTCTTTCTTTCTTTCTTTCTTTCTTTCTTTCTTTCTTTCTTTCTTTCTTTCTTTCTTTCTCTCTCTCTTTTTTTTTTTTTTTTTTTTTTTTAGAAAATACTTGTTTGTGAGGCTGTGTGTTAACTT